CGCGCATGGTGGTGCCAAAAATGTGGCGTGCAATTCCCTGACCAAATAAGGCGAGAACAACCATAAACAGGGACCCCCCTCGCACAGCCGGGCACTGGGGTCCCCATCCCGGCCTGGGGCGGGCTGGAGAAGAAGGAAAGTGCCGACAGAGAGGGAGGAAGGTTGGGAGACCCCCGAGCCCACACTGGCTCTCCCCGCTGCTGCTCAAGGTGCGCCATGGGGCGGCCGGGGGGAGATCCCCCATAGATGGGCTGTCTCACAGCTGCCTGTGCTGGCACAGGTCAGAGGGCAGCCTCCTGCCTGCGGCTTCGCCCTCCGGCAGTGCCGGCTCGTCCCCAAACCGGGGCAGCGTTTGCAAATCCAAGGTGCCCTCATTCCCCATCACCACCCTTCCTGCAGGGAGGACAGCCCGGCCGGCACATGGAGGGACCTCCACAGCCCCACTGAGACCCCCGGAAGGGAACGGAGAGGAGCCTTGGGGTACCTCCACAGCCCTGCAAGGGACTGGGAGTGCTGTGGCTCTGCCCCAGGGGTCAGAGGGGAACACACATGCACCGAGGCACTCGGGTCTCTGCAGGCAGGAGGGGGCTGCCAGCCAGTTCTGCCAGCTCAGGGCTGAGATGTGAGGGCTGAGCCATGGTCTGAGCTCACGGTGGGGACACACGTCCCCTCCCCTTGGGGCCAGACCCACAGCCCCCAGCTCCCCACCGCATAGCTGAGCCCGCGCATCACGAGTTGCCCGTTTACTGCCCTGTGCCAAGGCAGGCACCCGTGCCAGCTCCGTGCAGCCACCCTGGGTCCGATCCCATGTCCCCACCATGGGCAGAGACCCCCTCACCCACCCCAGGCACCTAGAGCCCCCACCCTCCCCAGTGAGCCCGGCCACCCACAGCTCCCACTCAGAGCAACCGGTGACCTTCAGGGACGTCGAGGACCGCAGCTGTCCCTGCTCCGAGGACGTTTGTCCAGACTGGGCCAGGAAAGCTCAGGCATCTGCTCAGCCACAGATGGCCTCACCACCGGGACGGGAGCCCACCACCCTTCAACCCACAAGTACTGCCTGTTCCTGCCAAGCAGGCGAGGGCAGCCGACTCGCCACATCCCAGTGGTTGCTCAAGGGGCTTTTCCCAGCTCCGAGCAATGGTGCGGACCCTCCAGGGCCAGTGAGGCATCCTCATCCCCCAAGGGAAACTGAGGCACAGCTACATCCCGCCATGCTTGCACCGTGAAAAAGGAGCTGGGAGACCTAATGGTCCCCCCCGTTAGGTCCCACTCCCGACAGACTTGGGGTTTGGTTTTCCCAAAGCTCTGGGGCATGAACTAAGGCTGGACCCTGCTCCATGCAAAGAGGGCTTTGAGAGCAAAAGCACCGAAAAAAGAGCCTGAGCTCCCTGGCACTGCCAGCAGGAGGGAAAGCCCATGAGATCTTCCTCTCCCATCCCGTGGCCATGCTCCTCCAGCAGCAGCTGCCTGCCCCCAGCTCTGCTGCCCACCAGTGTCCCCTTCCCTGGGGTGGTGGGGATTCCCATGGGGACAGTTTGGCCACCGACCACCCCGTGAACCCTAACCTTTCTCCAGGTGCTTGCCGGGCAGGGGTGGCTCAGCCCAGGCACCCTCCGTGCTGTCCTCACGCTGGATGTTGAAGTTCTCATAGGAGTCCCACCGGATGAGTGGGTCGGACGTGTTGTAGTCCACGGAAACGCTGGGCCCGTTCTCCAGGTGCTCCATGCCTGGGAAAAGGCAGGAAGGTCAGTCGGGGTGACGATGGAGTCGGTGCGGACAGGATGGAGGGAGGAGGTGAAGAGAAGGTGCAGGCAAGGGAACGAGGGCAGGAACCATAGGGCAAGGCAGGACAGTCACGTAGGAACGGGGGCACTGAGAGGGATGGATGGGCATGGGAGGCACATCAAGACCCACAAACAAGGTGTACAGGGCTGGCCGAGGCTTTTGGGATTGCCTAGGGACAGGCAGACGGACTGACAGCGAGCATGCCTAGGGCGGGACTTTTTGGGGTGGGAGGGTCGTCCATTCCCAAGCGCCCCCTCCCTCTCTCCCCGGCCAGCAAGTGCTGCAGAGAGTAGCCTCCCAGTGAAGAGAGCGAGGACCATGGGGCATCCATGGATGCTCCTAGACCAGCATCACTGCCTGGACCCCTTGTCCCACCCTGGTGATCAAAGGACTGCAAATGGGGCAGGAGGTCGCAAGGGAGGCAGCAGGGGATAGAGCTGGGGAGCAGGAAAGGAGCCAGCATCCAGCTCCGAACCTCCATGGTGGTGAGCCAGCCGTACCTTGGATCTTCTCGGGGCCGTAGGAGAACACAAACTCCACCTTCCCGTACTCGGGGAAGCGGTCATCTGGAACAGAGAGCAGAGCAAAGGGACCATCTCGATCCATCCCTCCAACGGCACCTGGACCGCCACCCCAAACATGCCCGGAGGCCAGCTCAAGGACAGGAGCTGATAGGGGATATCCCGGCACAGGGCAGAGCATCTCAGCCCCCAAAACAACCCTGAGACAGGCCCTCCACATTGGTACCAGTTTTGGCAATGAAGGGGATGACACTGCCACTGGTCCCCAAGCAGCACCGCACCCTGCAGATGGAGCAGGAGTGCCCTGCTTCACTGGGGGCACATTTGGGGTGGATGCCCAGAGGTCCCCCCGATGGGAGCAGCATCAGAGGGGTGGGAAGAGGAGGGAGTTTGGAGTGGGCAGGTGCCGGGGCGGTTACCTCTGAAGGCCTCATCCAGGTCCTCCTTGCCAAAGACGACGTCAAGGTCATGCACGGCGCACGTGTGGAACTGCACGCGGAAAATCACATCACGGGTCGGGCTGCGAAACTTCTTGTGGTAACACTTCAGCTGCGGAGGGTAGCGGGGACCGGCCGTCAAGACAAGCCCCCACGGCTGGGCAAGGGGGAACCAGGGGGTCCTGATGCACAAGGACCACCCGTCCCCCGGCTGCTCCCCACACGGGGGGCTGAGCCCGAGGCTCCTTACCAAGATATCGCCCTTGAGGAGCAAGCCAGGCTCGATGGTGATGCAGATGCCCGTCTGGCTGTCTCCTTGCACGTTGCTGCAGAGAGGGATGGTGGGAGGACGTGAGCTGTGGTGCAGAGCTTCCCCAGAGCTCCCAGCGCCGCCTCCACCAGTCCTTTACACCCAAACCCAGCCAGGAAAGGTGCAAAGCACAGAGCTGGCCCTCCCGGTGACAGAGGAGGGTCCCATCCCCCACCCCAAAGGGCACCCATTCCCAGCTAGAGGAGGACAGGAGGGGGAAACCGAGGCACAGCTCGATGAGGATGATAAAAATCCTGGGTGGGAGGGTTTGACCGGGGACGGAGCGCTGGGGCTGTGCTATCAGCCATCCACCCTGCTCCTGCGGGTTGAGTGGGGCACAGGACACAGAGGGAGAGCTCTCAAGGAAGGCTCTCCTCCCTGCCTCAGTTTCCCTGCCGGAAGCCCTCCCCTCCCCAGGGCGCCGGGGGGCTGCCTCCGGGCGGTGGCGTCAGCAGCGGGGGATGAGGGAAGAAGGGAGTTGGATTTCACAGGCAAGATAAACCTGGAGTTTATTACCAGCGTCCCATAAACAGTCTATTAAAAGCTGAAAGGCGAGGCTGGGATGGCAGTAAATCTCGGCTAATAGGGATGCCTGCTGCAGGGAAGGGAGATCCCAGTTCAGGGGGGTGAGATGGGAATACCCCTGAGGCAAGGGGCTTTGCTCCCTCCAGGGGGGCCAGGAACCGGGGATGTGGCCGCAGCAGAGCATCAGGGCAGCTGGAGAAATTGGCTCTTGCTTTGCCTTCACCGATGCCTGCTCCCAGGAGCAGTGTCGGAAAATGGTGTCGGGGTAAGTCATGGGGAGGTTAAAATGGGGGGAAAATCTTCTGGGGGGAGAGAAAGAGGGCTTTTAGGATGATTCCCGGCAGGAGGAGCAGCTCTTTGGGCAGGGAGAGGAGAAACACCTCCATCCCCCAGGGAGGTGTCCCCATCCCTGTCCCCACTCCCTCTGGGGACACCCAGCCCTGGGCACTGCACAGCCCCGGGCTCCCTCTGCTGATACACAGAGTCACTACAGCCCTCCCAGCAGAAGGGCCCAGTATGGCCCAGTATAGCCAGTTACCACCTCCAAGGAAAGGGGAGCCCCTTTGTTCTGTTCCCTGGACCCCAAACGGACTAAGCACAGGGCATCGGGACCACTAGGGACTTGGCCTTGACCCTCTCCATCTCCCCCCGCTTGCCAAACCTCCTGCGCTGGGGAGGAGGGAAGCCCCACAGTGAGAAGATAGTTACTAGATCCCCGAGGTGTAGACGGGCTGCATGGCCTGGTAGATTTTCAGGAAGGGACGACAACCTGGAAGACATCAAGGCGGGGAGAGAAGGCGCGCTGCTGTTAGCCGGCAGGGCGGAGGGGCCGGGGCAGGGATTAGTCACGGGGGAGAAATCCAAACAGGGAGGGAGCCAAGGCAAACAGCCGCTCCCCGCCCCAGCCGGCCCGCACCGGCCATGGGCAACATCTGCGATGGGCAGAAAGGGATGCTCCAGATGGGGTGGGAAAGGGGGAAAGCCCCTGTAGCCCAGTTTGGGTCCTGTAGAACCTGGGGCAAGCACTGGGCTGGGGATGGAAATGGAATGATGGTCTCTGAGCAAGGGACTGCTTCTGGGTACCGGCAGTGGGCATGGTACTGCATCCCAAACCCCAACCCCAATCTGGTGCCATCCTCCAAAAAAGCCATTGGAAAAGGCTCATCACCCCGCAGCTTGTGTTAGTGCCCAGCCCCAGGAGCCCTGCACAGGCGGGGCACCCCCCGAGGGCATCTCTGCGGGAAAAGGGTTGCGCCCGGCTACAGTGAACAGTCACAGAGAGGGAAAGGGAAATTCAAGTTGCCGAGGAAATTGTGGAAAATATCTCCCATGGAGAGCAAGCCTGGCCAGGCAGGGGGTCGG